TGAACCCCTGATGTCACATGGATTATTTTACCGATCTCCTTGCTACGTTTCTGGACTTGGGAACATTTCAGTTGTGTTGCTGTCTATGCAGGGTCAGACAGCTCTCAGATTCCATCAAAAATATCTTAATTTGTGTTCCAAAGATGAACGAAGGTCTTACGGGTTTGAAACGACATGAGGGTGAGTAACTAATGACAGAGTTTTCATTTTTGGGTGAACTAACCCTTTAATACCAGTTTCAGCACAAAATAAACATGACTAAACAGCCGATGGTAAGTTAAAAGAAAGAGTACAACTTTACAATCCATATCCTGTCTCATGTAATCGCTCAATCAGTGTTTCAGCCGTGCAAAGACGTCAATATAACGGCTTGTAAACAATGTCAGGTAACGCCACATTTACCTCAGAAAAACATATTCGGTGCCCATAAACTCATTAGTCAGCTAGAAAAATAAACTGTAGAGGGGCATTTTGCTAAATATATACACCATATAACATATTCATTATACATTTTACTGTTCAATGTTTAATTTATGTTTGAATAAATCCATCAAGTTTTTATGACAGCCACCCCGAATCGGTAATCGAATCGAAAGCTTGTGAATGAGAAGCCAATCAAATCGTGAAATTTGTGTCAAAACCCAGCCCTAAACCACAGATCCTCATAAAAATCAAAAACAAAAATGTGCTATGTGTTATCAGTAACAAAGTAATAGTTAATTGTCATTATTTGGATAGTAGTAGAAAAGGGACACTTACCATAAGTGACAAACTTACTATTCACTATTTAAAGGGGTCATATGATGCTGCTAAAAAGAACATTATTTTGTGTATTTGGTGTAATGAAATGTGTTTATGCGGTTTAAAGTAAAAAAAACACATTATTTTCCACATACTGTACATTATTGTTTCTCCTCTATGCCCCGCCTTCTGAAACGCGTCGATTTTTACAAAACTAATCGGTCTGAAAAGCGAGGTGTGCTCTGATTAGCCAGCTATCCAGTGCGTTGTGATTGACCGTGCCGGCGATCCACAGCACTAAGTTGATGTATTCCCTCAGCGACCAGCACAGATCAGCTCTAGGCATGACGAAGCGGATATCGTCCTCTTTTGGAAGACCAAACAAAGTAGTTTCGCTTTCACAACGAAAAACACAGCGGCCTAGCGTGAGCGAAAGCCCTGGCTTAGCGTGAGCTGAAGCCGGGCAAGAGTGAGCTGAGGCTGCGGGGTCGAGAACGGCGGTCCCGGCGAAGGAGCGGTGAAAGCCGATCCGGCGATCCACAGCACTAAGTTGATGTATTCCCTTAGCGACCAGCACGGATCAGCTCTAGGTATGACGAAGCGGATATCGTCCTCTTTTGGAAGATCAAACAAAGTAGTTTCGCTTTCACAATGAAGCACACAGCGTCTTCAGGACATGGCGGCAGCAGCAACAATACTACAGCGAGAATAAAAGTTACGCCTTCTTTCTTTGCGTGAACATTTGGGCGGCGTTATGCAAATCTTCCCACATAGTGAGGTAGATATGTGGGGGCGTGTTCGAACGAGCCGTTTTAGGGGGGTGTGGCTGACTCTTAACTTTTGTAAAGAATATCTCTTTGGATTTGAGACTTTAGTCTTTGCAAATTTACAGATCTTCTTTATGCATCAAGAGCTTGTAACACTCCAAAGAGAAAGGAAAAAATGAAATCGCATCATATGACCCCTTTAATTAATTACTAGAAATAATTAAGTACTAGTATACTAGTAAGATAAAAAAAAAGACCCTAGTTAGTTAATAGAATAAACGTTAATTCAAATGACTCAAGCTTTAACCCTAAAACGGAGTTATAGCTACATTACACTAAATTAGCTACGTGTTGATTTTTGAGGAGTTTCAACTAAGTTATTCGTCTGTACTTAGAACTAGCATTTAACTGACACTAAATATGCAGGATACTCGATACGGTTATTGTACACAAAAGACGTTCATTTACCAGAAAATGTTTTACAGGCTCCGTTAAAGAAAGACAAAAAACGAACGTTTAGATCACTTACTTGTGCTTCTTCCTAAAAACACACGTCTGTAATAATCAATTCCGCTTTCTGAAGACAAACTCGGTGAATGTTGACGCTGGCGACGCCGCGTGATTGAACAATATCAGTGTGACTGAACGAGAACAGTGTGACAGCAAGCAGGATCAGGCCTTAGGCTGAAATCAAAGTCCTTTTTGAAATCAACTGAAACAACAGGCGCTCGTCTCTACCGGGGCGGAGACTGCTTCGAAACGCCATCTGATTGGACGAGCTGCTTCGACCGTAAATGTACAGTAACCGTATCAATACCTTACAGCGTTGCCTAGTTTATGTAATGTCTGGTTATCTCACTCTTCTCAGAGATGTAATGTGTTGAATAAATATATGAATCTCAAAACCTTTCAAGAATATTCCCCCAGAAACTGAAAAAAACAAATGAAGCCTATTAAGTACGTCTGTGCGATACGTGTTGGTAGGGAATGTTAATAAGTATAATTAATAATTTTGCCTAGTTATAAAAAGCAGTAAAAAGCCGCTTTAGTCATCCAGGGGTTGTTCATTGCATCATTTAGGAAGATGGAAAATTTTTATTATTTAATGTCAGTTAAAAAATTAAGGCACTGTGTAAAGGTTTAATAAACACACTGTCCTTTGTAACAAATTCTTACAACTTTGCATAAATAAATCATTATCATAAATACTCACAACCCACAAAGACAAGTCTAAATAAATTTCCTACACACACACAGTTATTGCACCACTATTGCAGTCTACTGCAAATCTGAAAAATTGAAACCCAGAGCACAAATTCAGCTACGTTGGAAATCATGAAGTACCCTATAATAATACAATACTAAGTCTAATTGTACGGTATGTCCTGGTAACCATGTATTTCTCCCAGGTGCTCTGTAAATGGTATCTATTTTTGGAAAGATGCTATAAAAAGCACAAATGTCCAAGGATGATGCTCGCATCTCCTTCCCAGGTTTCTCCTCCGCCCTGTAAAAGAACATCTCTTATGGGAAGTAGTTGCACGTCTCCTCCGTGAAGCTCTGAATTCCCCAGAACCCTCACCTGTGCTGTTACCTGCAAAGATAAGGCAGGGGAAATACTTTTGGGTGACCTCCTGTTATAGAATAGCTTTACTTTACCTTACATGGTTTGGTTATGTGCCATTTTTGGAAACTTCTCATTTAGAAAGGTTGTTGTCAAGTGTCTTGCACTAATTACATGCCCTAAGATTACTTCTAACCTCACAACCATGTTGTGATATGATGACATGGGATGGATGGATTTCTTCATCGGAGTCTCCCCGTAAGCGTAACACCCTCTTGGCGGTATCCATGTGTTTAGAAGTGGGGCTGTGCTTTTTAGGACATGTCAGGCTGATGCTTTGTGTGGCAGAGTTGCTGTGCAACCATAGGAATCGTAGTTGGACAACATTAAGATCTCTGTACTCAAACTGTGGAGTGCAATAATCAGAAAATTACATTCATTAAGATGCCTGCCATTCTTAATAAAAATGATGATATTCACAGCATAGTTTCCATAGCAACAAAAAACACAGTGTTAGTAAATTAACAAGAAATTACATCATCTTATGAAATTCAGTAAGTTCTTTACCTTGAAGCCTCTGTCAAGCTCGCTAAACCACTTTTTAGATCTATCCGCTGATAGCCACATCCCTGAAATCTGACAAAATCACCACAAATGTACACACAAATATAGTATTATATTCAACAAAACAATGCATATGTTATTCTGTGTCTGTGTCCATATGTTATTGTATTGTTCTGTGTCTAGCTGGACTGGTACATTTCTTTAAAATAAAGGTTCTTTATTGCCATATGGTTCCATGAAGAACCTTTAACATGCATGGAACCTTTTCATTCCACAAAAGGTTCTTTATAGTGGAAAAAGGTTATTTAGATTATTAAAATGTTCTTTACACTAAGAAAAAATTGTTCTTTTAAGAACTGTTTACTGAAAAGTTCATTGGGAAAACAAAAGTGGTTCTTATGTGTATTCCTTTTTGGAACGTTCATTTTTAAGATTGGAAACTAAGTGCAATAATAATGGGCAATAAATATCTTTCAGATTTTGAGACTATAATATCTTCCCGTTTTTAATCCCACTTTTAGGCATCTCAGAGTAAAGAAAAACATCAGTTTTCATGTCTTAGAATCACCAAAGGAGACTGACTGTGAAAGTCCTCTTACTTTAGACTGGACAGGAGACACACAAGTTAGACCACCAGCAGTAAAATTACAGAACACACGGAGAGCATCAATCGGACATCCGTGGTTTGGATCAATGTAGTAGAGCCCTATAAACAGGACAGGACAGGACAGTAAATTAAAAATGTCCTTCTCTATGATTTCAATTTTTAAAAACAAGAGCCACATTTTTGGGTCTGAAGTTCCAAGTGGTTTTCTGCTCACCATCTCTGAGGTGAGGCTGGATGAGACTCAGCTCTCTGCAGGTGGTTGCTGGGTTGTCTTTGGTTCCTTCCTCAATCTCATCTTCAGGGCCATCAAATCGAGACTTCCTGGATAACAACCTTGCTTTCTGAAAAGAATGTGCAAAGACAATCAATCAATATATTAAAACCTTCATCTTAGGTCTTTCTGCTACCCAACCCCACCTTTCCCTCTATATTTGACAATAAAAGTGTTTCAGTGCTCAACAAACCAAGGTTGACTGCTTGAGTTTGTACCAACATTTTGTGATCCTCTTTTCTGAGCATGAGGTGGAGTATTGTGCCCTGGTATCTGCTGGCTGGCAATGCCTGGTTTTCCCTTGTTAGATGATGCAATCGAGTCAGGATATAAACAGATTAAGACACACAATCTCTTAAAAAGGAATAAAATAAGTATGACATTAAAGTGAAATTAAGTTAAAGTGTGAAATTAAAGTCACATGCAGGAAAACTATTCCACTTACAGGTGGTCCTCTCCGACCTTTCACACCTTTTTGTCCTGATATTCCCTGAACTCCTTTCATACCCTGTTGATATGAACAATACTTAAGAAAGCACATTTAACTCCATTAAGCTTAATATACTTGAGGTCAAATCATATTTCAAATCCCATATTTTCAATGTTTCAGTGTCACCCTACTGAACATTGCCATTTAAATACTGCATGCCGGGGCACTGCAGGTCAGTTTGACTCTAATAAGATCTGTATCTATACTGTACCTACCTGGTTCAGGTACAGGGCAAAGATAAGCAGAGCTATATAAAATTACAACCACACCTGCAATTTCAGTACACACCTTCCTTCCAGTTGGACCCTGTAGAGCAAAACAAGAAACTGTGTCATCTATGCCATTGTTCTAAAGCAGATAAAGCTGGTCAATGAGTTTACAAAGAGACATACAGGTAAACCAGGGAATATTTTGCCACCAGGAGGCCCACGAGCACCAGCTTCACCCTGCAACAACAAATAACATATGAATAAAGAATCAAAAGTTCACAGTAAATAGGTCCCCAAATTACAGCAGGCAGTTATTTACCTGCATGCCTTGCGGTCCAGGCCGTCCCTTGAACCCTGGAGCACCTTGCTTTCCCTGCAAGATGAAATAAAACATTCCTAACTACTGAAAAAAAAGCAACTGGTTGTTTTTTTGATGTGCTTTCTATGTTTCATTTGAACTTACCTTTTCTCCTGGTGGTCCGCTGGGCCCTTGCAATCCTCTAATACCAACATGGCCCTGTAAATCACATTAATGAGCAATGAGCAAGGCCTTGAAGTGACCAATATGATCAAAACTTTGCTGAAAAACCAGCTGTACACAATCTACTACGTGCTTTCTGTCATCTGATTGACAGTTCATACTTTTAGTATAATTCCAATTAGCCTACATCTAACTTTTTGGCTCATTCCACAAAAGGTTCTTTATAGTGGAAAAAGGTTATTTAGATTATTAAAATGTTCTTTACACTAAGAAAAAATTGTTCTTTTAAGAACTGTTTACTGAAAAGTTCATTGGGAAAACAAAAGTGGTTCTTATGTGTATTCCTTTTTGGAACGTTCATTTTTAAGATTGGAAACTAAGTGCAATAATAATGGGCAATAAATATCTTTCAGATTTTGAGACTATAATATCTTCCCGTTTTTAATCCCACTTTTAGGCATCTCAGAGTAAAGAAAAACATCAGTTTTCATGTCTTAGAATCACCAAAGGAGACTGACTGTGAAAGTCCTCTTACTTTAGACTGGACAGGAGACACACAAGTTAGACCACCAGCAGTAAAATTACAGAACACACGGAGAGCATCAATCGGACATCCGTGGTTTGGATCAATGTAGTAGAGCCCTATAAACAGGACAGGACAGGACAGTAAATTAAAAATGTCCTTCTCTATGATTTCAATTTTTAAAAACAAGAGCCACATTTTTGGGTCTGAAGTTCCAAGTGGTTTTCTGCTCACCATCTCTGAGGTGAGGCTGGATGAGACTCAGCTCTCTGCAGGTGGTTGCTGGGTTGTCTTTGGTTCCTTCCTCAATCTCATCTTCAGGGCCATCAAATCGAGACTTCCTGGATAACAACCTTGCTTTCTGAAAAGAATGTGCAAAGACAATCAATCAATATATTAAAACCTTCATCTTAGGTCTTTCTGCTACCCAACCCCACCTTTCCCTCTATATTTGACAATAAAAGTGTTTCAGTGCTCAACAAACCAAGGTTGACTGCTTGAGTTTGTACCAACATTTTGTGATCCTCTTTTCTGAGCATGAGGTGGAGTATTGTGCCCTGGTATCTGCTGGCTGGCAATGCCTGGTTTTCCCTTGTTAGATGATGCAATCGAGTCAGGATATAAACAGATTAAGACACACAATCTCTTAAAAAGGAATAAAATAAGTATGACATTAAAGTGAAATTAAGTTAAAGTGTGAAATTAAAGTCACATGCAGGAAAACTATTCCACTTACAGGTGGTCCTCTCCGACCTTTCACACCTTTTTGTCCTGATATTCCCTGAACTCCTTTCATACCCTGTTGATATGAACAATACTTAAGAAAGCACATTTAACTCTATTAAGCTTTTTAAAAAAGGGTCGAACCTTGGCTGTTCAATGGTGAGTGGGTGTGACTGTTTTATATTATGGATATTATATAGTTTTTATTCAACACATATATTTAAAAAAAAAAACTGTATGATAATTTGTCGTTTGTTCAGATTGCATACAGTATATAAAAGTTTTAAGTTTTGAACCACTAAGATTGGGAAACCTTCAGAGAGGTTAAAAAATAAATAAATAAACAAATAAAGGAAAGAAAGACAGAAAAAGACCCAATCAATCAATCAATCAATCAATCAATCAATATCTAACCTAAAACTTTTAAACAGTGGTGTTTATAAATAATGGGTTTAAAAAAAACATTTTTTTTTTAAAAACTCTTAGACCTGAAAAATGTTTTTAAAAAGGTATTTTCCGATTTTTGATAAGTGACCTAAAAAAATGTCACCATAACTTCTCCTTTCTTTCCCTTTTTAATTCATAACTTGCTAACTTTATATATTTTGAGGTCTCAATCATATTTTAAATCCCATATTTTCAATGTTTCATTGTGACCATTTGAATACTGCCTGCCAGGGCACTGCAGGTCAGTCGGTGAACGTGATTTCACCAAGTGAAACATGTTCCTGGAACAACATCCATGTTGATCCTGGAACAACATTCAAATCAACCAATCAGAACTGAGGGATAAGTTTACAGGAAATGTCCATTTTAGACCCTCTACACCCTTGTTATTCAACCATCATTTCCCTCTGATTTTAGGGATAAATTATGGGTAGGCTTAGGTTTAGGGGTAGGGATAGGGTTAGGTATATATTTTTGGACAATAATGTTGACCCAGGAACAACAAAAGATGTTGATCCATGAACATGTCTTGCTTGGCAAAATCACGGTGACCCAGGTCAGTCTGACTGTAATAAGATCTGTATCTACACTGTACCTACCTGGTTCAGGTACAGGGCAAAGATAAGCAGAGCTATATAAATTACAATCACACCTGCAATTTCAGTACACACCTTCCTTCCAGATGGACCCTGTAGAGCGAAACAAGACTGTGTGATCTATGCTATTATTCTAAAGCAGATAAAGCTGGTCAGTGAGTTTACAAAGAGACGTACAGGTGAACCAGGGAATCCTTTGCTACCAGAAGGCCCACTAGCACCAGCTTCGCCCTGCAACAAACAACATATTTATGAATAAAGAAACAAAAGATTAAAGTAAATATGTTCACAAAATACTGCAGGTCGTTATTTACCTTTATACCTTTTGACCCAGGACGTCCCTTGTACCCTGGAACACCTTGCTTTCCCTGCAAGATGAAGGAAAACATTTGTAACTAGTGAAAAAAAAGCAACTTGTTGTTTTTTTGATGTGCTTTCTATGTTTCATTTGAACTTACCTTTTCTCCTGGTGGTCCAATGGGCCCTTGCAATCCTCTAATACCAACATGGCCCTATAAATTGCATTAATGAGCAATGAGCAAGGCCTATAAATGATCAATATGATCAAAACTTTGCTGAAAAACCTGCTGTACACAATCTACTACATGCTTTCTGTTGTCTGATTTACATATTTTTAAAAGGCCTTTTTGTATAATTCCAATTACATCTTAATTTCTGGCCATAGAAATATCAGCTACTGCACCAAATTGCATATTTTTGCTCAGTTTGGGCCTCTGAATAAAACTGGGGTGTTTTTTTCCTTCTCGAGTACGAGCTCCATATTCTCCTGAATCATACTACATGAGCAAATACAATATGATACTAATCAAAAAAAAAAAAAAAAGATCTGTTTTCTTCTGAAGGTTCAATAAAATTAGATTTTTCAAAAAGTTTGATTTTTATTACTATTATTTCTTATGTCATGCTTTATAGAGTTAAGAATGCTAAAACAATTGTCTATAGTCAATGGATACAGTGGTACCTTTGGTCCTTTTTGTCCGACATCTCCCTTTTCACCTTGAAGTCCCAGAATCCTCTAAGTTTTAACCAAAAAATAACATAAAAAAAATTTAAATCCTTATGGATTGTAGAAGGCAAAACAATGACTTTGATTTAATTACCTTTGGTCCTATCAGCCCGGTGGGCCCTGGTTTCCCTCTGGGTCCTTCAGAGCCCTGTGATGGAGAGGCTGGTAAATTGACTGTAGTAGGAACCATTTATTTAAGAGTCAGAGTGAAAATTACTTTTGGTCCAGGTAGTCCTTGACTCCCTTGCAAAGCCAGTGTTCCTGGGGCACCCTGTGATTTTGTATTTGAAACCATGCCACAAATCATGACCATATTATACAACAACAAACATGCTTTATAATAAATCATTCAAATAGTCTGTATAAAACAAACTTACTTACAGCACTACCTGAAGGACCTGGTTTCCCTGGAGGTCCTCGGAATCCAATGTCACCCTGGAATTTGTGCAATAAGGTAGTAAATGCTCACTTTCATGCTAAATCTGCCATTTGCCATAAAATGATTCTACTCTGCTTGGGCCAGAAATCCCAGCAATGACCCAAAACACCCTAGTAACCACATGGCAACCATTCAGAACACCTTAGCAACTTCATAGGAACCACCCACAACACCTTAGCATTGTGGTAGTGAGTTTTGCATTGGCTAGCACCACTATAAAATGTGAATAGTGAATAAGGTCAAGCTACTCACTGGGTCGCCCTCGGTGCCTATAACTCCAAGCAGGCCATCTGTACCACTACGTCCCTTAAATGGAGTTAGTGTAAAAGACAATCACATTTGGCACAATCATATAATAGTCAGAAGAGTTTAGATATTTGTATTAGGGATACTTGCCAGCTTTCCAGGGAGACCAGGATTGCCATGTTTCCCTTTTGGTCCTTGAGGTCCCTAGATAATAATAAATCATATGCATGAATGTTTTATTTGTTTGTGTAGGCAAAATATGAAATAATTGCATTAAAGCTGTAGATTATCAAGGTAAAAAGTCTAAAAAAATGCATGAACCCACTGGCTTTCCTGAAACACCTTTACTTCCTCTCCTTCCGGGAGAACCGCTCATTCCCTGTGTGAAAGAATCACAAAAACACTTGTTCTGGGTTTTTGGTGCAGACATTACAGTAAAATATAATAATGAATAAAATATTCTAGTCATAAAACATGCAGTAACGTATGACAAGATTCAATGATACGTCTGTAAAATATTGAGTCACTGACTTTTGGCCCTGGTTGACCCTTGAATCCTTTTTCCCCTGGAGGTCCTGAAGATCCTGGTTTTCCCTTTAGTCCACGAGGACCCACAGCTCCTGGCTGATCCATTGGTCCCTAAAAAGGAGCATAGATCATTTAAATATGCAAACACTGTAAATTTGAACATTCTGTATACCACTGTGAAATGTCTTTTTCCTGTTTTTAATGGCAACTGCCATTATTTTGTTCTTTAAATTGGAAACCAATCTGGGTGTAAAGTGTTATCTCACCATTTTGCCTCTTGTTCCAGGCTCTCCTTTCTTCCCACTTGGACCTGAAACACCCTGTAAACAACATAAAAAATTCAGGTCAGTAGGACCAGACAACCTTTTTCAACCATGCATCTTCAAAGGTAAAAACCTACAATTGATCCAATCTTCCCAGGGCCGCCTGGATTCCCTTTAACTCCAGGCTCTCCCTACAGGGGACAAAAATAACATAGGCACTTACTCCTATGATAGAGCATACCTTTTATCCCATCCTATCACCAGCAAGTCATAGGTGAATAACTCAGAGTGATCATCTAATGTATTTTATACCAAAAAAAGAAGGAAAAATATATTTTGGTAAATATGGCATCACAAGACATCAGTAAAAAAAAAAAAAAACATAAAAAAAACATACTTTTGGTCCATGTTTTCCAGTTTTTCCAACAAATCCTTCTTTTCCTGGCAAACCCTAAATTTGAATGGAATAAATGAATGCCAATTCACATCACATCTAATCACATACATCAAATATATCAAACCTAACTTACCGGTAACCCAATAGCACCATTTGAACCTGGAGGCCCATTTGTTCCTGTCGCGCCCTATGATATCCATAGAACATTGAAATAAACAAAATAAATCTATTTCTTCATTAGCTTCATTGGCTGTAAAAGAGGAAGTGGTACTCACAACAAGTCCACATAGACCTTTGTCGCCTTTTTCACCAGATTCTCCCATGTTCCCCCCAGGACCGTATTTTCCAACCAAACCCGAGTGACCTCTCACACCTGGCTGACTCTGAGCAAAAAACAAAAACACTCAGAAAACATGTCAGTAATAAGAATATTACAATGCATTTGACTATTTCACTCAAACACTTGTGCAAACTTCATCAAAAAACTCACTTTTTCACCAGGGGATCCAGGATCTCCCTTCTGCCCAGGGGCACCACTCGACCCCTGACAAAAAAACAAACATTCAACATCTTTTTGTTAATAATTTATGGTAAGACATAATCAAAAAATCAAATCAATATTCTTACTTCTTGTCCTTTTGGTCCTTTGACTCCAGGTGGTCCTCGATTTCCACTCTCTCCTTGGATTCCTTTTGGGCCACGATCACCAAAAGATCCTTCTTTACCCTTCTCACCCTACAACCGACAGTTCTGTCCTGTGTATCATTTACATAAAACACCATAACACAACGTACATATATGAAATGGAGATGGCAAACATACAGCAACAGAGAATTTGTACTCACAGGCAAGCCTTTACTTCCTACTGGTCCAACTGGTCCAGTTTCACCCACTGGGCCCTAAAAAAAAAGATTACCCATCTTATTTAATACAATTTATCTACCACTAAAAATTTGGCAGAATTTTTTAATGTTTTTGAAAGAAGCCTCTTATGCTCACCAAGACTGCATTTATTTGCTCAAATATACAGTAAAAACAGTAATATTGTGTAAATATTTTTACAACTAAAAATAACTGTTTTCTGTTTTAATATATTTTTAAATGTAATTTATTTCTGTGATGGCAAAGCTGGATTTTCAGCTGCCATTACTCCAGTCTTCAGTGTCACATGATCCTTCTGAAAACTTATTGACCCAAACATTTAAAAGGTAGTGTAAATGTAGATAGTTCTCAAACAATCTATTTAGGAGAATCAAAGCATATATTTTAGCATTATATGAATATTTATAAAAGCAGAATTTCATATTGATCGATTAGACAAACTACCGTACATAATCAAGATTTATAAGCAATCTACCTCCTCACCATCGATACCGGCAACTCCCTTCAGTCCACTGGCTCCTCTCAGTCCCTTTGGCCAATACATTTATAAACAAAAGGTCTCATACAAAGCCACAATGGAAGAACCAATACATTTTACATAATTATAATGAAGATAAAACAAGAAAAACAAAAAAGAGTCCACCTTATTGCCCTTATCTCCTGGAGGTCCGAGGGGTCCAGGTAGTCCATCTTTACCCTGAAAGTCAAAGAATACAATATGGGATTAAAGCTGAAACCTTGCCCATAGTCCTCACAACAATAAACCAAATAAACCAAAAACACATACTGGGTACCCAGCCACTCCATGCAGCCCAGGTGGTCCTCTGGGCCCTTGATTTCCTACCGGCCCCTGCAGACCTGTCTCACCCCACTGGCCTATGTTTCCTTGTGGGCCCTTTAGAAGATTACATTTACAAATGTTTCATCATTACACACTGGATAAACACATTGTAATATTACTGCTATTGCATCATGGCAAAAAGAGTCCAAAAAAGTGCATGTGTGTTAAATGTATGTCTTACAGCAGGTCCTTTGTAGCCCTTCTCTCCTGGTAGGCCTCGAGGACCCTAAATAGAGAAATTGATAGCCTAATGTTTAAATGTTAATGAATGAGGAATATATATATATATATATATATATATATATATATAACCTATAAGGCACTTACTGGCTGACCGGGTTCTCCTTTGGGCCCCTCAGGGCCATTTTTCCCCTAATATCAAATGAAAAGATTGTCAAATGCATTTGGATATAAATTATAAGAAGAGAACAGACAGATGAACATATGGCTTGTGAATGAAATGAGGTTTGATTTAAAAGCAAGAATGAAAGGAAACTTTTGCCTCTGCTGCTGATTTCTGTTAAACGTGGCTAATAATGTTTTCAGCTTTTTATTGCACTACATTTTTTCATCATATGGTGCATCACATGACGTGACTGATACATTTAAAAAAAAACACTAACCTTCTCCCCATGACTGCCATGAAACCCTACTGAACCCTCTCTGCCTTTGACACCCTGAGGAAAACAGAACACAACACAATATATAAAAAAAACTATCAAGACTGAACTAGTCACATAAAATTCACTGCCAATTGCAACAAAAGAGCACAGAAAAAAATTAATATCCAAATTTGGATGAAGTCTGATCTAAAGAACTGGGTGTCATGTAATATAAAAAAATTGTTTGGAATTTTATGAAATCATTACTTACTCTGATTCCAGGCTTTCCAGAATTGCCAGCAAGACCCCGGCTCCCTGGTTCCCCCTTTAAAAAGTTATTTAATAGCATTGTGCTGGAGGTCATATTCTTAGACAGTAATGTCAGAATTGGCAAACTATGACATTTTTAACAGCTAAATATATCACAAGATGGAGAGTTACATAACTAAGAGACTGAAGAGTTTGGAAATCCAAGAAAGGAAAATAAAACTCACACTTTTTCCAACGGGACCTTGGATTCCTGATGCACCACTCCTTCCCTGTAAACCCTGTTAAGACATCTTATTTAATCAGTTGTTTTGTCCATGTCAGTGCACAGATTGTCTAACAAAGCATTAAAAAAAACAAGACACGGTCTTACCCGGGGACCCTGAGGTCCTCTATCTCCATCTGATCCATGTGGTCCAACAGATCCCTATAACACAATTTACTCTTAATGGCTAGTGAAGCAAACTAACAGGACATTCTATATAAAACTGTGTATGTGTGGCTCTTACAGGTGCTCCGTGAGTGCCGTCCTGTCCTCTACTCCCTGAAACACCCTGCAGTCCCTAAATGATGATAAACATCATGACTAAGATAACATGATGCATGCTAATCCACCTTAGTCAATGCTGTAGTTAATCAATGCTATGCTGTTTGTTGTGACATTCAGTGTTATTGTATTTGACTAATCATTAGGGAACTCAATTTACCTTTTGACCTTTAAATCCGGTTCCTCCAGGGACTCCTGGTCTACCCTGTCCCATTAAAAAATGAAAAATGCAAGCAACCTGATATATAGGGTTAATTAGGCCTTGTGTGTGAATGAGATTTACTGTTGTAACCAAAATAATTCTGACTAAAGGAACGAGGAAATCATGATCAAACCTTACCAAATAATGCCAGTCATTGCATGAATTGTGTTATATTTGTATTTAAAAGGTAATGATTTGATGTACAAGGGAACCTTAATACCGGGTTCTCCTTCAGGTCCTGGTTCTCCTGATTTTCCCATCTCACCCTATGAAACAAACATTTGGTTTCTCTCTTTTGGCCAAGGTACATAGGCATCTGCTTTCTTATTTTTTAGTTTTCTTAATAATTTTCCATTTTCTGTCTGGAAGTCTATAGGCCACAAAATTGTGGTAATGAAAAATTAAATAAATAAATAACCTTTGGTGAAGTGTAGTATTGCCACAGTGGTCTGTGAATACTATGTACATTTGTTTACAGTGCCACCTACTGGTCAAACGTAACAGTGGGTTTAGGTAATAGCCATAGGTAATGGTAAATCTAACTAAAACTAAAAACTATATAGACATATAAAAAAAACTAATACAAAATCACAAAAACACACAACAAAATTATTAAAACAATAATTATAAAAATATAATCTACTTCAAAATATTAACAAAAATTATAGTAGTATATCAATGATACTAAAAAAGCTGAAGCTGTGCATAGACTTTCGGCTCGTTTCCACTGAGCAGTACCGCTCAGTGCAAACGAGCCATTTGAAGTACTTTTTCTAAAATTACCACTAGGGGTGCTATGATAAAACAAATCTACTCAATGATTTCATTTCAACAATTGGTGTTCTTGCCCTTGTAATTATGTCTTGCAGCTTTATTTAAAGGGGTCATATGATGCTTTTTTAAAGATCATTATTTTGTGTATTTGGTGTAATAGAATATGTTGACATGCTTTAATGTTCAAAAAACATTATTTTTCAAATACTGTACATTATTGTAGGCCCTCTATGCCCCGCCTCTCTCAAACGCTTCGTTTTCTACAAAGCCCCCTCCTT